TATATATATATATATATATATATATACATGTACATTGTCCATCTTTAATGTTCTTTCCTGCTAGGCGTTGCTTCTCTAGTGATTAAGTAAGAGTACCCTCTGCTAGGGCATACAAACAGCAGCAGCAGCCACGAGTAGGCAACGAGTAGGCAACATGCTCATTATCAACGTCATCATTGGCGTGGCTGTGACTGGGGCTGAAGTCGCATTAGAATGCCAGCCCATTCGGTAAATGGACAGCAGTCGAAAAGGCATACTACTTATAGAGCTGATGTGCATCGGCTCTTTGGCACTCGGACTGCATTTGGCTGCAGCTGCTGTGGCGGCTGCTCATGGCGCAGCATTTGCATTTGAATTCGCATTCGAGTGTCCACTAAATGTCAATTAAGTGGGTTTTAGCACGGTTTGATTCGCCGGTTGCCAAGTGCCCATCACCCAGTTTACTGATCATTTCCAGCTGCCTCATCCTCCATTCCCGACACTATCTACACCTGCACTCCCTACTCCTACACCCACTGGGCAACTTCTTGCGCTCCAGCTGCGCTTCCCACTTTGACCATACAAATAACTAACATAATAGCAATAACCATAATGCACACAATGCTGTCCGCCGTCCGCTGTCTGAAGTGGTCTCCCAGGCCGGGTCCAGCCAGATCTGGTTTGGGTCTGGGTCTGGCCTGGTCATGCACATGTGTGAGCCTCTCCCAGTTATTGCATCCAAGCATTGGCGGCTCCCTTTGTCATTTGGCGTGACGCATGCGTAACGTTCGATTTGATTCAATTAATGGATGGGAATTGTCTCTACGTGTTCTCTACATGGCGTTGAAAGAGCTCCCAGCCACCAAAGATGAGGAGATGTCGGAGCAGCCGTTGAATGCAAATATTGGAGTGTTGCGCAAACATCAACTATTATCTCTGATGTTTCTCCTTTGAGTTTAGAATATTGTTATTTTTTAAATCTTCTTATGAGTGCCGTAATTCATAATATAATTTCTTATATATTATTTAATTATGTGTAATTAGTCTAATATTAAATTATAATTTTCTCGTGTACTCTTGTTCTCACGACAGCTTTTGTTCTTTTTACGATATTCTCAAAGAATGTTCCTATTTAAATATGCATTAGTCATTCATTAGATTATTTCGCTACGATTACAGCTTTCCAAATCTTAGTTTAAATATCAATAATAAAAAAATTATTAAAATCAGTCTACCGAAGACTAAATACTCTTTTATGGAAATATTATTATGTGCAAGTGTTGCAAATATGAAATCGATAGATCTTAAAATAAGCAAGATGACTAAGTAGGCCTTCCATTGATTTAGGATATGTACATATAGCAAATGGGTTTCGATTTAGTTACAGGTTTTGCAACAAATTGTAGAAAACCTCTAAGAGAGTAGTAAATATATGCGAACCCGTTTTCCTGGTTTCGACTAGTGAGCTGTAGTACTTAGTTGAGTGCTCTTCAGCAGTGGAATAACTCAGAGTCATAAAGACCAGCAAACCCATCGATGTCAGTTGCGTTAGAGACAATTACTTTCAAATAAATTAAATCCTAACGACGCGACGAGTCGTTGATCGAATCGGTTTCGATTGCGAATGTAATTGTGCATTCGATTACAACATTGAGGCATAAGTTTGCATGCCAATGCCGGCTGATTCGAAATCAATTACAACTATCATAATTAATAGTGCCTAATGAGAGTGGTGCCGGCAATAGAGTATGCAAATTGGTCACATCGGGTAATATCAATATCCAATGCTCAGCAGTCATCAATGATTGCGATTATGGTAGCTTAGCTCTCATGCCATCGAAATCAATATAATCATTTATGGAGGCTATCAACAGTTTGTCACGAAATGTGTAACGCATAGATGAATTCTATGTTTAATTGCCATTTTGGGATTTAACTTTTTATTCAGTTGAAGTTTCATAAATCATCAATTGAATGCAATGCGTAATACTCACATTTGTATGTATGAATATCTGGAAGAGTGTTTAGTATTTTGATTGAGAAATAGGGATTATCTTTAATCTTAATTGCGAAAACGATCGAAGAGCACTTGAGTCTCGCTCCAAGAGAAACTGAAGCAGAAATCAAAACATCATTTAGCAGCTTTTTATGCACATGAGCGATTGCAACTGCATTATCATTATCACGATCATCCGCAGCACAATCATCATGTGATCATCGTCGTGACGTAGCTGAGCAGCTCGATGGAGAAGCATATGCATCATGCACAACAAGGTTAAAATTGTTAATTGTTGACGCCAACTGCAATTGGTATTATTATGCACAGCCCACAGCAGAAATAACAACGATAATATAAACTTTTGCGGCGATTAAAGCTTAATGAGTTGCTGGAATTATCTGAATAGCATGCCAGTAAATACAAATAATTGCGCATTTGACAAACAAATATTAAAATGTGAGAGGAAACGCAAGTGCTTAGTTTTAGATTTTATTAATATTATATGTTAGCTCTAATGAATACAATGTTTTCCAATCCGTTTTGGCGTACCGCGAAACTCAGCTTACTGCATAGAATATGTATATATTATATATGATTAAATTTATATTTATATTATAATATATAGATATATGATCAGTTCGGGCATTTAGTTAGTGAAATGATGCATTTATATAATTAAAATGTTATTTATTTTCTATTTGCGGAATGGGTATCGATATAAAATGCCGTGTTATGGACAAAGTACTGTCTTTTCGGTGCAAAAACTCTACTGAAAGTATAATATAGTTAAGTTTGGTGAGCTACATCGCAGCTATGAGGAGTGCATTACTTGCTGTCAGCATTCTTCACGTTTGCTTTATACTAAAATTCAGCTTCAATGTAAGTTTACAATTTTGTAAATTTATAAATCAGTTTTAGTGTATTTCACATCAATTAGAATGCAGGTTATGTCAAGTTTACGAATGCCGTCTGCAAATCACATAATGAATCCTGGGTTACTGTGGACATGTGTCGTCTGCGAGCAATCAATCGAAACAAGACTGTTTTGAATATTAAAGTCACACTGCTGCATACTACGAAAACTGTTCATGCTGAATCACAATTTTTGCTCAAAGCAAATGGCTACAAGCCTTGGCTGTACAAGCCAACATTTGATGTCTGTCGGTTTCTTAAGAAGCCATATTCTCCTCTTGTTGTAATGCTGTTCGATTTGCTTAAAAACTATACCAATTTTAATACCAGATGTCCCTTATTGGTAAGTCAAATATTAGCTCTCTTTACATGATGTAATTGTTTACCTTAATATTTAGGGATCATACTATGTTGATGGGTTTTATGTACGTTATGACACTGTGCCATTGCCTTGGCCATCTGGAGAATATTTATTAAAATTGAATTGGTTATTTGAAAATCGACTTCAGTTTTCAACAGATGTTTATTTTATGGTTCAAGAATAAGATTTTAAAGTAAATAAACACATAATAAAATAAAGTAATGTGTTATACATATAACTGAGTATATCTATTTGAGAATCTCTGAATATAAAAGGTAAATATGGGTTTTTATAGTTAGAAAGCTATTGCTATATATATCAAGTAATATTTATTTTTTATTTAGGCAATGAATTGATATCTGATCCAAATATTCGAAAAAGTTTGAACTCATTTGCTGTGCACCATTGAAGTAAATTAAAAAGTCATAAAAATAATTAAATAATAATTGGAGTCCGCAAAATCCAAATTTATTATGAGTTATTAGGTCATCGGGGCGTATCATCGATGACACACTACGACCTATTCCAGCTCCAGAGCAGTAGATCTTCATAATTTAAACTTGGATATAATGAATTTGGTTGTTCATCCGTTCGTCTCAATTAGTTTTGTGCCAACTCACCTTCTCAGCTTGTTTTATTCTTTTGTCTAAGCCTCTGCAGAGTTGATGTGCATAAGGTTGGGATAATTTATTAAATAGTGTCACCATGCTTTTGGCCCCTTGGCAGCCCAGAGTCGCTGCCATAGAGCAATGGATGCAACAGTCGGAATTACTACCAGAGCCAAACAGTCAACGTGGAACATACTTGCGATCACAATAGCGTGACTTTGTTGTTTGATCGCTGAGGAACGTAAGAAAATACTGCAAAAGTGAAGGTTGTGCAGCAGCCAAGATGGGAAAAGCGGGAAAGCCGACTACGATGACAGTGTTGACAACCGACAACATCGTTGGTGGCTACCACAATTAATGCTCTAATAAAGCCGAAGAAAACATGTAGCTGGGGCAGCCAGGGGCTGAGGCAGTTGCTGCTGCTGAGGCTGAAACAGACGAAGCCCCAGCAGCGATTGCCGTTTGGAAAGATCTGAAGGCAGTCGCTAAGTGGAGTTCCGTTAATAATGTTGTCAAAACGCGATGCGTTGATAAGAGCTCTTGTTTTGACGCTCTATTATGTGGGCGTGGCTGGCGCCGATGATCGTCGCGATTTCGTGACACTGGGCGTGATGAAGAGCAGGCGTGACAGTGCCAGAAGATCCCCGCAACGGCTTGGTGGCATGACCATTGATGGTATTGGCTATCACTATACGCTGCGCTACCAGCCCAGCAAACACCTCCAGAGTTTTGCACAGCAACAGGAACAGGAGATGACTATGGCACCGCCGATGCCGCCAGCAATGACAGAGATGCCGCCGGCGCCGACAGAGCCGATGGAACCCGAAGAGCCCGAGCCAACCATACCAATGCGCCCGACTTCCATGGAGCCCGATCCGGAGCCAACTGAAATACCAACTGAGCCCACTAGCACGGACATGATGCCAAGTGCTATGCCAACGGAGGAGCCATCGGCTAAGCCTTCAGTGAAGCCTTCGGTGAGGCCCTCCGTAAGGCCTTCGATGAGGCCTTTTCCGCCGCCCACTCCAGCCACAACGCGCACCTCTATCATGCAGCCACAGACATTTTCCACCAAGCTGGCAAATAAACTTAAGCAGCTCATCTATGGATCGCCAATCCAGGCCAATCTTATACAAAAACAGCCCGGTGCACCCAAATCTAAGGGCAAGGGCTTCTTAAGTCTCTTCGAGGTGATCAAATTTCCCAACACCAAGTGCAGCGTTTCGATGGGCGACATTCGCACCATGGAGGGAGTCTGTTATCACGAGTTCGAATGCAAAAGCTTGGGCGGCATACCCACCGAACGATGTGCCGAAGGTGTTGGCGCCTGTTGCATCTGTGAGTATCTTCAATTTCAGCCGATCATCAATATAAAGTGATATTGCATTTGCTTGCGGCTTATCCCGAGTACCCGACCCAACTATTTTCGCTTTCAGTTGTTCATGGCTGTGGCGATGTTACCAGCCAGCAGATCGTTTACTTTGAGAGTCCCAACTACCCACAGGCGGTGCGCGAAATGATGATCTGTGTGCTCATCATAAATCTGAGACAAGGGGTGCAGCAGCTGCGCCTGGACTTCCAAATGTTCGAGGTACTGGTATATCCAATGTATCCCATCATATATATTTGATATCTATATAAACTATATAGAGCGTGTTTCTTGGATTTGCAGCTCAGTCGCCCCACAGATGGCGATTGTCTAGACGATCAATTCATCATATCCGGACATAATGCAAACTTCCAAATACCCATACTCTGTGGCATTAATACGGGCCAACACCGTAAGTAGAACAATGCTCAGAGAGAATGTTTCATTGAGGCTCCACTTCTACTCATTGGATAGTATATGTGCACGTGGGAGACTCCACTGAGAGTAAGGTATATCTCTCGGTATTTGTGAAGGTCTCAAGCGGCGGACGATCGTTTAATATCATGATCAGTCAACTTGAAGATCAGCTAGCGCCGGATAATTGCCTGCAATACTTTAAAGACGGCGAGGGTATCATCAAGTCATTCAACTACGACGTGGCTGGCAGCATTGTGGACAACCGCGAGGCAACCTATCTGGCTAGTATCTGATATGCTAATCGAAACTTAAGAAAGTACTAATGCTTAAATCAACTTTTCATGTTTAGAACAATCTCAACTATGCAATATGCTTAGCCAGGTCAAAAAATGTGTGCAGCATTAGCTATAGCACCGAACAGCAAGGCGGCGATCAGCCCGACTTCCAGCTCATCAATAAGGATGAAGGTAAGACAATAGAGATGGAGTCTGATCTAGAATCATTTTTGTATTCAGCTTTTTTGTATTTTTTTATTCAGCTGAAAATGATCTTGTGCCCGATGGCCAGGCTGGCGCTGGGATCTTCAATTGCCCGGACGACTTCATAGCCATCAACTCGGTGCGATTGTGCGGAGAGCGGCTGAACGATGGAATCGAGATTGAGGATTATACCATGCATGCCACAGTGAGGGATATAGCCGCCGGTCCCATTGTGCTGCCCTTTCGCACCGATGCCGAGTATGTGGGTCGCGGCTTTCGTCTGTTCTATAGGCAGGAGTTGTGTGTCTGATATGGATGCAGTTCGGTTACGGTTAGATTTACTGCTGCAGTTACTGTTACCGCTCGTAGTTCATAGGCTGCATATGCCGTTGTTTGCATTAAACTTTGGAATATGTTACGCTTCAGTCCGAATCTCGAATCTCGAATCGACTGCAGGCCTTTCTGGTTGCTATGGGAAAACTTGACATGCATGCGACCATTTCCGTTCCCAGTGCTGTGTTAATGTGTTTTATGTATTTCAGCGTTTTGGTGGCTTAGTTTTGGCGCCGCCCACCCGCCGACTGGGCGGTCTGCAAGTTCGTAGTTCACAGCCGGTTGGCGTTGGTGTCGGTTGACAGGTTTATTTCCAGATATTCATACCTAGCCATACCGAAACTATGACGAAATCTATAACTTGCCGAATCGCCATCGTTTCTGCTCAACTCGAAGTGGAAGTTGAAGTCGCAGTTGGAGCTGTTGGAGCTGTAGAGGAGTCGTGTCGGTAGAGACGTCGCCAGGGCCGGTGTTGTCGTGTTGGTTTCTATGCTTAAATTTGTAATAAATTTGATTTTTTCCTTTCGATTGCGAATTTTCATTGTTCCCTTTGGCCGTCGTATGATAAAGTCACAATTAACCCACGCCTTTTTCGTAGCGGTACTCTTACATATATTTGCATATCATTTTGATTGTTTGGATCGCTGTCTGCGCCGCTGACATGGTGATGACTAAAAGTGTGCAGCAACGCCATCGCCACCACCACCACCACCACCGCCACCGCCACCACCACCACGACCAAGCAACAACCAGCTGGAGCAACCAACAATCATAAAATAGACAACAACAAATATTGCATGCAAACATTTTTAGTTTGAAGTTTGTCATCAAATGGCGTCTGAAGCCTTGGACAGGGCGCCACATGGCACAGTGGAATGATATCCGAATTTAATGGAATGATTTTAATTTGATGAAAGATTTCGAGGATTTTACATTTGGTATTTTAATGCAGCCGAGAATCAATTTTGGGCTTGAACGAAAGGCATGACTTTTGTATGGAACGGAATGTTTAGTATATAATATATAAATATATATTTTATAATTTAATATTAATGGTAGAGGAATAAATATAAATACACTTACAATTGCTGAAAGAAATATTTATATTGCATTTACTATAATATAAATAAAATATAAGTATAAGTATATTAAAACTTCGCATTCATATAAATATGTCCTTGTTATATTAGGATATTATATTCAGAAATGTTTCCATTGCAAGCCACAGTGTCGCCCAGCTCTAGCAAAAATAAATAAAACCCGTAAAGTCGAAAAAGTATAAAATAAAAATCGCTTCAGGGCGTAACGTGCACTACATTAGAAATTGAAAATCCACCGACACCGCCAACAATGACGACGACGACGACGACGACGAAAACAACATCGAAGTCGCTTTGGAGCTGGCCAAAAAAAGGAAAACATGAGAATCTTTTGCCATGCAGAGTCAGAGCCAGAGTCAGAGTCAGAGTCAGCGTCGCAGAGCCAACAAAGCGCCGCTTGATGGAAATTAGAAATACAGTCAAATTTTGAGGAGAGGTTTTTTGCTTTCGGTATTTTTTACGATTTTTTTTTTTTTGCCTTTACTGACTGAGAGGAGCAGAACGTGCAGGGCAACGCCTTTTGTCATGGGGAGATCTGTGGTAACAGTGGGGCATTTGCATAAGTTAATCAATTCGCAATGAGGCAAAAGGTGAAAACTGTGCGATTGCCGGCCTATCAGATCGCAATCGCACTGTTAACTGTCGGCAATCAAGCGAAATGAATGCTGGCAATTGCCAGCGAATCGGCAATCGCTTCATGTCTTTTAATTGTCAACACCCCCCCGGCAACAGCAACAGCAACAGCAACAGCAGCAACAATAACAATGGGGACCCACAGCAGACTCAAAATATGTCCACTGCAATCGCTGTTGGCGGTCAGTTAAAGCCATTTCAAGCGGCATACCAGAGATCACAATCGCAACAACAACAGCAACAACAACAACTATCGAAAACTCTTAAACGTTAAGAAAAAAATGCCAATAAATTTTTGACAAGACATTATACAAATGCTAACTTTATTAAACGGCGTTGCGGCCTGGCCGTGTTATGGGACCACCGCATGGATTTTAATTGCCAGGTTATTGATTTAAAATACAGCCCAAGTTGCTGCCAACTTGTTTGCGGCTTAATAAAGCGATCAGCTGGCCGATAGCTTGGCCGATCTCTTGTTAATAGAGATGGGCGCGTGTCTGATTTTCGTTTCATGCCACGATCAAACACAATAACACGCATTCGACTTGAAGAGTCCAAGCTGAAAGCATTGACTGACGGTTATCATAATCTTTTATATATGACTGAGAGATTTATTATCCAGAGAAGCAAGTAAATAGCATTACGCCTATATGATCGATAGCAGATAGTGCCAAGAAGACTTAAGAGGATCACAAATCTATGGCTCTTCACAAAGTCATTGTATGTACTTTGATACCAATATGATACTGATGAAGCTCTAACTCACGATGAATTCGTGTCACGATAGACAGTCTAAGGCTTAGCTTTGGCTGTGTGTGAACATCCAAAAGAGTTGTTATTGCTTCTGCTTTAACGATCTAATGAAGCAATTTTGATACCTGTTGCATTTTTTTTTTTTCGCTGCTCGTCTGCAATTAATTTATTTGAATGCCTGGCAGTTGATCATTTGGCCCCGTCGTCTTCGACTGCTGATGGGTCTTTAAGCGGCATGGGGTCTCTGCTGTAGAGGTGCATTTTTGCATTTTGCATCGAATGCGATTGGCGACGCGACCCAACGATTGAAGCCTGAATTCCCAGATCGATGAATCTATAAAATGTTGGCAGTCCATCGTAATTCAAAGTAATTAGTCATTGCCAACTAATGAAATGTCTTTTCGCGTAATGAGAATGTTATGCAGGGAAGGGATTGGCCATTGATTTGTAAGATTAATGGAACGATCGGGGGAATGTGAAGGCAACGGTTTGAGCACACAGACAGCGTACGATATTTTATTTTTAATTAGTTACACTTTAAGTTTTTAAGGTATTATACATATATGCCTTATCGAATGTATGTATGTATGTATGTACATATGTATATGCATTCCGTAACACCCTCGTATCAAGCTTTAGAATTTGAGATCCCCAATAAGTGCGAGGTTGACAAAATAGCCAATGGCTGACACTTGATCCCCCAGGGCCAAATTATTGGCCAACGTATGGGAAATTTGCAATGCATTATTATAAGCCAGAATCACATTGCCGCATATGAATACACAAATGCATGTACAGCTACGCCAACTGACACGAACACCATCAAGCAGGGATTTTATGATTCACGCTTGCATTAAAAACACATCAAACCGGGGTAACAAATCGCAAAAAAGTCTATGAAACAAAGGCCTAAAACTTAACTACCATGTATTTAGAAATGCTGGCAGCTAGTGCTAGAGCGTCTGCTGAGAGAGCGGTTGCTGGATCGAGGCCCGTACTGGGACGGTGTGACGGTGCGACGGTGCACTGGTCGGCTGAATACAAAACAACGGACTGTTCGCAACTTCACGCCGTAATTAAACTGTCTTCGGTTGTGTTGTACCAGCGTTCAAGCATTAAGCCGTCCAAATTTCAACCAGTGCCATTTAAAGTTTCATTTATTTTACATATTAGCCCCATACAAGCGCGCACCTTATACACCTTGAGTATATACATACGTATGCATATACATATGTATATAATGACGATTTTCACACTATTTCCTACAAATTTAACGATTGTGTTCGTGATTTTTATTGCCGCACTTTTAGCACCCCTTCGGAGTCGAAGCGGGACGTCTTCTAGTGAACGTATTGCTTACCTATTTATTTGCCTGTAGGCAAAATAAAGCTAAATACGGCAATCTTTTTATGCTGACACAAAAATACCCTGTAACAAGATCTAAAAATGTACTCGAATTTCTCACCTAATTTGATTCTTATTGTTGACTAAATTGAAATTTGTCTATAGTAATACTACAGACCCTACCGCTGTAAGCGTACTGGGTATAAGCATGGCGAGTATTTATCGGAGCTCAGTTTGCAGTGGGTATTGCCAAGAAATGTTGCTTATGCCATGATTTTATTTAAAGAAATATAATTTTTATATTTTATTGGTTTTTATTTTTAGGATATTTTAAGAATTTAATAAGTGGAAAAATTCTTAAACGTATAGAAGATTTAGATTTTGCTATGATAAACAATATTTTTTTATTTTTTATGATCCAATTAAAGCAACACAAACAGAGTTTACTTAGGCGTTCCTTTGCGCTTTTTATTATTTATAAATTAAAAGTCCATTGCACATTTTAAATGCTTATTTGACAAAATAAAGCCCATAACATTCTGTAAGTCTTTTCATGAAACTAATTTAATAATATTTCTTTATGCCTATCATCACATATTCTTGCCTTACTTAAAATCTTCTCAACACTTGTTTCCCTCATCTCGAGTGGCCTCACGTAATCGCACTTAATCGCTGCAGCAGCTCTTTTCAAATTTGAAAAGCCCTCGCATTATTTCATGCACCAGACGTATGCATATCCACATAATAATCTCGCACTTTCATGTGCATTCATCAAAGTTTCAACACTCAGCCAAAAAAGGAGCCTTTCGAAAATTTGCCAGTTGCTTCGGCGCCAGAATGCGTTGCATGTAAAAGATCTTGACCAAGTGGCAGGCGAGCGACACCGAGCCAAGCCAACGCCAAAGCCAGACCGGGCCGAGGCGAGACGAGAATGGGGCGATAACAGGCAGCTGGCCTGGAGAAGAGGCGACTGGATGAAAATGTAGAGGAAATGGGCACTGGCCGTGGCAACTGATGCCACGAGAAGGCGCATAAATCGCGTGAAAAATGTGAAAGAAAAAAGCATTTTGACACCACAGCAAAAGGTGGCTGTTAACTGGCAGTGCGTTAAAACACGTTGACTCGATGATGATTATGAATATGAAAAATTAATGATAGTCACA